GTTGCAAAATGTACTCATTTATTTATTACAGATATTTTTAATGTGCCGACAATTTATGCATCGCTTTGCATAGTGCACATTCACATCAGTCCCTGCCCTTAAGGAGCTTATATAAGATAAAATGATACCACTATAGTGTGTAACAATTACACATCAACTGATATGGTTGATAACCTATAAGCATATATGTAAGAATACCACCTCTATGTGGAGCAATGAGGTGGAAAAAGAAGTTATACTCTTTTTCCACCTCATAAAATATAATTTATACATTTAGGAGAGTGTGAACACAGCAGACACCGTGACAAGAACCTTATATTAAAATATTAAAACAACGTTGCCAATTTTAATATAAGGTTCTTGTCACGGTGTCTGCTGTGTTCATACTCTCCTAAATGTATAAATTATATTTTTCTAATCAATAAAGTAAGCCATCTGGCTGATTAATTATCTAATTTTGGTTAAAGTATAACTTCTTTTTCCACCTCATTGCTCCACATAGAGGTGGTATTCTTACACCTTAAGGAGCTTACAAGCTAAGGTCCCTATCTCACATGCAAACATACAGGAGCCAAATAATCTTCCAGCTTGTCTTTGGATTGTGGAAGGTGACGAGTACCCAGAGGAAACCCATGCAAGCACAGGGAGAGCAAACTCTTTGCTGATAGCATCCTGAGCGGTATTTAAACTGGGGGCCCTCAGTGCTGAAGTGCTAACAACTAAACCACTTTTCTAATTATTTAAATATCTTTCCTTCTAACACTAGATGATCCAAATGTCTAGATTTGTGAGATTTAGACATCAGGTTTAAATATTTGTTTAAAGGTTATCTAAACCCAATAACAAAATTATATTATACATTGCATCATACCAGTCCCTAGATGTGATAGCTGCATTTGCTTGGATTTTGCAGAAGATCATTTTCAGCAAGTAAATAAAAAAGCTGTTCTTGCCAGAAATGCAGTGTCCCTGTCACTTCCTGTGAGTTGCAATGGAAGCACAAATAATTGTGGCTTACTTCTTTAAACTACAAGTGCCCCCATCCCCAAGTAATAAAGATGAAGAGAGAAAGACATGTATGAAGCGACAACAATCGCTCCATTGAAAAGAGCTGGATTAACCATTCAGCAAAATAGGAATATGATCTGTGCAGCGGTGTGTTCCTCTCCACAGCCGCTGCTGAGTCAGCGAGAGCCGGCAGTGGAGGAGGAGGCGGGGTCTGGGGTTGGCATCAGAGGAGGAGGTCGGGCCTGGTGACAGGGAAGGGGGCGGGCCCGGTGATGGGGAGGGGGCGGGGCTCATCACCGACAGTGGAGGAATAATTGGGCTCTTCAAGGGGTGTAACTAGAGATCAAAGGGGCCCCATCAAAAATTTTGCTATGGGGCCCCGTGATTTCTAGTTACGCCCCTGCCTTCAAGGAAACGCGCAATTTAAAACAAACCTTTTTGCCCCTTTGCCCTGAGCTAACTGATCTCACTCTTCTCCTCCACAAATGTATACTTACTGAGATCCAACTGTCATGGCCTCCATTGCTTATTTACATTCCTCATTGCAAGCGCTTTTTCCTCCTGCCTTTCTTCCAGACAAGGTAGGTAGACAAGGAGAATTATGGGGAGAGTGAAATACATAAATTCCCATAATTCGAACCGATGTCTGACACTGAAGCTGTCACAAGTTGGCTCTATAGATCGAGAACTGAGCAATCACATACCGCTCTTCTCCTTGCAGAGAACGGTGACTGTCAGTCACATCTGTCCTTGCAGGGATTCCTCCCTCTCCATTCCTCCAGCGCTGACTGGAGGGACAGATGGGGAGGGGGCAGGCACAGCTGGCATTGCCTCTAGAGAGGCAGAGCCAGGTGTCAATCAGGTAGCTGATTGACAGAATAGATTGTGCAAGCCTCTTCTGTCATAGATCCTCCTTTTTGCCTATGGGCACTTTTTCTTTTGCTTCCGTGCACTGAGCCGTGCATGCACAGTTCAGTGTAGCGTCTCAGAAGAATTCCTTGCTAGGACATGCGCAGAAGATACCTCATCTGGGCCTGGCCAATCAAACAACTGCAGACTTCAAACACAGAAAAAGACCATGGCAAGGCTGAAAGTGTTGCAATGGGAGGAAAGTGCTGACATTGCAGCACTAGATGGAAATGCTTTGGTATGTAAGTCTACCATAATGTGATAATATGCTGTCCAAACTAACACATTATGGCTAAAAGGTCCTAACGTTTTTTTATTTATGTTTTTGTTTAAACTTTGCTTCCAATTTAATGCCGTGTCAGTCAAGCAATGAAGGGGCCAAAGGGGGCAATGCTTAAGGTCCTTCTTCTCCATAGATAAAGTAAGCGTAGGGATAGGAAGTGTGTTATTCACAGGATTACCAGGGGAAAAAAAGAATGCCGCCACCTCATCTAAAGACTGTCAAACTGCAATATATTAGTTCTGTTTTTGAGTGTAGATATGATTTAAAAACAAGTTGTCAAGGCCTGCAAGTCTAATCTATTCTTCTTTGGGAGAGTTTACAAATGTATTCAGAATATGTGAGCTGTTGTCAGAAGGTCCTTAATGCATGTCAATATACAGCAGTGTAACATAACATACATAGACTATTAGAGCTTAAAAATATGCAATATGATGACCTACTTATAAATTCAAACCTGAGAGAAAGTTGTAGAAGCTGTATAAGAAAATCATGCAAACTTTCAGGATATTGCTACGGGTTAATATTAGTCAGATGTGGGTCGCACGTGTATTATTTCTTTACAAGTCTTCCCACTTGTTAAAGTGACCCTCCCATCACAATGACACTTGCAAATCAAGCACAGACTGTAAAAGAAGAGAATCTATACTTGCCCCTATGGCAGGCTGTGTCTTCAATCTCTGGCAATTTACTGCTCCCCGACCCCTGCAGATATTCCACATGTCTGGGAGTGTGGCTCCAGCTCATATTTACTGTAGTGAAATACAAGCTGCAGCAGTCAGGGAGCAGCAAAGGTCCACAGTTTTGAAGATACGGGCCCCCAGCAGAGCTAAGGATAGATGCTCTTGTTTTCCAAGCTGTGCATAGTTTACAAATGACCCTGTGTTTATATCTTGCCTTTCAATCTATGGAGACAAGTTACAAAAGAGATCAGCCAATAGTCTGCAGGCTACTGTAGGATCTGATTTCTTGCTGACATTTTATTTATCTACCTTTTAATACACTTATTTCTAATCTAAACTTGTTTGGTTTGGAATAAAGCAGTGGTTAGAACACTTGTCAGTATTTTTTTTTAGCTGTCCATATCCTTTTTGATGGATCTTTCTGCACTTCCCGTCCCAGTGGCACAGCAAAAAGTAAGGGAAAATTACTCCAAAGGAAGGGAAAAATTGCCTCTTAAACAGTTGTCACTGGAACGTACGTCCCCATTGGAAGATTGTCCCACTTTATCCAAAACTAGAAGAAAAGGTTTGGGCTGAACATATACTTTACGCAAAATGAAGTATAATGTTGTATACAAATCCAGGGAAAAAAATTCTCCATTTGTCAAAGCTACTATTTAACCCTTGTTTACTTGACACATTACCGACAATCAGCGTCAGATCAAATCAAAGATAAAATTGTGTGTTTTTTATATATGTACATGAACTTCCTGTAACTGTATTACTAATGAACTTACTGCAATGATCATTTCTAGCACAAAACGGATTTACAATATAAGTAACAAGCTTTTAATGCAGATTCTTTACTAAGGCATGAGGAAGCTAGCCAAGGTGAAATTCCTGTTTGAAAATGCTGTGGGTGTTATGCAAAGCACCTGAGACAAATCATGTACACCAAACAAAAATGAGATTAAACAGAATGTAAACAAACAATTATGCTTCCTTCATGAAGCAGAGTTGAGTAACTCAACATGTTTTTCTTACCAAACCAAGTGATTTGTATGTGACCGTGTTGTCACCAGCTGTTCTAGCCATATATACATAGATTTACATTATTAATAATCTGTTTTAGACCTATTCGGCTTGATTCAAACCCCATGTGAAGCATCCAAGGCAAGTATTCATTATCGTTCAGATACCAAAAATGTCAGAGATCTGCAATAATAGACTCCCCATCTGAATACATAATGTATCAGGATCAGTATTAAAGATAAGCAAACAAATTCATGAAGTTCTATATCAGATCTGAGTAATGATGATTTATGTCCAGAAGATGCTGCCAACAAATGATAGCACAATCCACAAACAATCCATATTTTTGAGGTTACTAACTCCAGAATGAATGAATCTCAAATTGATGTAATATATTATATAAACCCCAGTGTTCATGCTTTGACTGGTTAACCATTAGGGCCATTGCAGACATTCATAAGGAAACTGCTCAAAATCAACAAAGAAATATAATGCAGCAAGAAAAAAAAAATCTCTTGCCTTAAAACAAATATGTAGAATAAAAAAGTTATACAAATGTATAGGTATGCTACCTGTACCAACAGTACTAAGAGTGCTATCAGCTCACCGACACCTATCCTCCTCGGCGTCCATGAGTACCTATTGTGTGGCCTGGGGGTAGTTTACAGCCAAGCCAAAATTCCCATGAGGGGGTCCTTGGCAGAACATTAGCTATTCCTAAGAGTCCATTTTCAAGGAAAGCAGCCACATTGATGAAAAACATCTACAGCCCCAGATCCTGAGATTTATGTTATTTAGTGTAAACATAACATCATAACTTTTTGTTGCTTGGGTCCCCTTTAATTCCTTACATAAAAAAAGATGAGTTGTAAGCTCCCAAAGAAATATTTAATTTAAAATCAGATGGGAAGTCTTTACAAACTCATTTTCAAAACATAGAAAAATATTTTTTTTTTCCTAAAATGTTTTTTGTTTGTTAAAATATTGAAAAAAAGCAAGATTTATTTTTTAACTTTTATAAATAGGCCCCTGGTTGCTAAATTTTAAAATTTCCAATCCAGCCAATAAAGTTTACCCCCAATGAGGATGCTTGGAGAGAGGGAATGAAGATATCATGTTTAACACAAAATTAGCTGTCACCTTTACCTCCTTTTTACCACTTGACCCTGTTTCAGCCATTAGGACCTCCACATGGCAAATCATCAAGGAGCTGGCCAAGAACACTTGTTAGCAATGGAGAGGCAAAGAAGTGACATTTCCCTGGTCCAGCTGGAAAGGAAGTGACTCTGTACGAAAGGATAATTTGTTTGACATGGGCCTTTATGAGTGGTACAGCCAAGGAAGGAAAGGAAGTGGTACAGCCAAGGAAAAAAAAAGCCCACATAACTTTTTGATCGCAAAGCAGATGATCGCTAGGGCGTGGAAGCCCTCCAGGTGCCCTTTCAGAAGTTCATGTGTTACATGACACTCATGCTAAATTTTTTAAGATTTGGGATTCCTGGATCTCCTACACCCTTCTGATCCTTGACCTTGTCACCTACATTGCTCTTGATGAGCTCTACGTTTGAGCTCTTTGTGGTGGTGGGGGGTTGTGGGGATCATATTCTCTTCTTTCCTATAGCTCTTTCTCCCTTTTCTTTTTTTTCCTCTCCCCCTTTCTTTCTGCTCCCACTTTCTTCTTTTCCCTTTTCTGTTGTATTTAGGGGAATTAGCCCCTGTCCTTTCTTAGCACACTTCTGATTCTGGTATGTAGACTTGTTTATGTTGTGAGATTTTGCCCTCATATTCTATTATCTTTTACTTTCCTTTTATTTGGCCTGGGATGGCATTTAGCCTGTGTCTTTTTTTTTCTTTACATGCCAAGCCTTTTGCAATCAAGTCTTTGTTCTGTTATTGTCCCAGCGTGGGTACTTTCACTGTCTGTTATTGTTTGTTATTAAAAACGCATTCAAATTATTGTTAAAAAGAAAAAGGCAACATAACTCTACTTTTAATGTGGAAAATAATTTTGTTTTGTATGTTAGCAATTACATCATCCTTTAGAATGTCATTACATATATATACCGCATATAATCCGAAAACAACACCCGAGTAATTACACAGAGTAAATCATTGTATAACAATTGCATTTTAAAAGGGTGGATAACAAACCCTTTCTCTTTGCTGTCCATTAACAAAAAATATGTTTTAGAATGAATGGAAATGATTTATCATTACACACACACACCAAATACATTGAATTGGTATTAAAAAGTAACTGGAATAACTTAAAAGGTCATGTAAAAAAACTTATCAAGAAGCAGGTAGCATTGTGCTGTGGAAGAGCGTTATCTGAAGGGGAATAAGCCCTTCTGATGTCCCAAAGGGAATACTCTAGCCCATATTCAAAATAAAAATGCCATGAGAAAAATATTGGTGCTGCTGACCTCTATCTGAAAAAGCTAGTTGCCTGGCCAGCCCGTGACTTCAGTACCTTCTCAATCACTGATTTGAAACTCATTAGGGTTGATTTACTAAAGTCAAATAGGCTGTTTAACTTGCCTTTAGTAAGTCAACCCCAAGATGCTCAAGGTCCTCTGTCTTCTTTAATACATGCAAATGTTTACACACACAAAAAAAAGATATAATAAATAATATATAAACCAGAAAATGCTCTTCAGAATAAAACCTTCACACAAAATGCAGATACCCTTATTATTTTGCAAGATTCTTCAGCCATAGAGGAAGTGACTAGCACAACATAGGTATAGTGAGAAGAATATCATAGGATACGGAAATCTCACTTTATAATGTGAATGGGCATGCATTTTACAGAAATGATAATGATTACACCAAAACATTAGCAACTTACATTTCTGAAAGATGTGTTTGGTGCTGCCTCTGCTCCACACTGCTTCTGGTAATCTGCCCAATCAAAATCCTGGTCTGGATACCCTACAAACGAAAGAGATTAAAGGGTCTATTCACTTATCTGAAATAAATACTTTACTGGTGCAATAGTCACTGTATCCTAACATAACTTTAGGATTCTTCATTCATGCATTCTATGTTTTTGAAGTTTCAATAAAGCAATGCTGCAAATTTATTTAAAAAACAATATTTTTCTTTTCAGCTGACCACACGTGCACAGTCAAGTGAACTTGATTTGCCCTAAACTATTAAATATCCAGCCGCCATGTTCCTTCCCTCCTACTGACTTTTTCTTTTAACAAAAATGGAGATTAACAAAGACAAGCGGATGGCATAGACAAAGCAGTCTAAATCTGATGTGTTTTGGGTGCGAGGTTGTTAATGTCTCCAAGTACTGGCTGGTAGATTTTACTGTGTATATGTTTTGTGAGAGCTAGCTTCAAACAGTAATACTTTAAGGACACAGATCACAGCGCAGATGCCCTCACAGGGGTTGTTCAGCATCTCTTGACAAAAATAAACATATGCTCATCCAGCCTCTTGGCTTTGCTCTTGCAGCACTGCATATACGGCCTCATGGCTGATTCACACCGCATTCCAGAGTGCCTGGCCTCTGGAACACACTGGAACGCAACCTCGGCCGGTTCACTTTGATTTGAGGTGGGAGGGGGCGTGGAAGTGCATTAAAGTCAATGGCACCGTAGCCACACACCCAGCCCGCAGTGCGATCATTGGCACCCGCACACGTGGCACATTAGTGCCTGTGCTCCGGTCTAGTGCGGTGCTGCAAGCACTATGCAAAACAAAGTGAGCTGGCCGGGTTGCATTCCACTGCGTTCAAGGCTGAACGCTCTGGAACGCACTCTTTACGGTGTGAACCTCAGCCCTCAGTCCTTAAACCACTGCCTGTTTTCTCCAAACAACAATAATACTGTGCTAACCTGTACAATTGGGTCACAAACCGCAGCTGCCTGCTGCACTGGACTTCACTCCTGTCCCCCAGGTGGAGCCCTGAACACCTACCAGCGCCTTTTCCTTAAAGACTATGCTTACCTGTGCAATCAGCAGGTGCTGGTCACTACAAAAACATGGAACCAGGAATGGAGATTTCATCCCTGCCAATTCCCTTAGAAATCTTACAGGTTCCAGGAACCTGGAGAATCCAGAAAATCTGGAAAGAACTGCAAAGACAGCTCCTTCCCTGTAAAGATATTTGACTCTTGAAGGCTACTGGGTGACAAGAAGGCCAAATTACACTGTGGCATTGCCACGCACTGCCACAGTCTGCAATCTATTACTCTGGGGTTATTACCACAGGGTAGCATTTATTGTTTAAAGATTGTTATATTTTTATCTGTTTTGTCACACATCTTTTATTATTTCCTTTTCATTTACTGTTATTAGTCTTCCTGCTGATGTAGCTCCCTCTACCAATAGGTACCAACATTGTTTGAAAAACATGATTTTGCTTGTAATGATCTCATTTCGACACCTTTGTAGATGTGTAAATTAACAAAGTATGGGAAATGAGTGTGAAATCAATAGGATGCACTCTGTTCTACACAAAAACAATTGTTAGACAATGCAAAAGCCTACATTGAAAAACAAACCCACGATTTTCTTTGGGGTTCATCAATCAATGCCCCAGTGAAGCAAATGTTAAAACTGACCTTGAACATTATAC